GTTTGTGCCCATTTCCTCTTGTCCTGTCCCTGGGCACCACTGACACACCACCTCAGGTATGTTTGCCTTTGGGGCTATGGCTGAGTGGCAATATTTGACTAGTAGGGAAGGACCTAGAAGGTTGTTTTCTCTCTAGGTGGTGTTAGGAAGCTACGTTTTCCACAGCAGAAGTCAACCTGGGCCAAAAAAAAAAATAAATCTCAAGCAATCATGTTTGGAGGCTGCTTCAGGAGCACAGAGTGGATCACAAGGCTTCTGGTGATGCTCCTGGTGCCCCCCAGCCACCAGGGAGACGGGCTGACGCCGGGGTGACTGCAGGAGGAGCCTGGCTGGCGTGGCAGCGCGGTGCCAGGACGCCCATGGGAGCAGTGGTGTGGCTGGTGGTGGGAAGGACATGAATGTAAATCTAGCTAATCTCTGTTTAACGAAATCACTGTACACATTAGGGATCAGCTCTTGGTTTTGTTTTGCTTTTTTTTTTTCCAGTGGGAGACTTTTCTTACCAGCTTGCTGCCAGCACACCAGGCTGTATTTGCTCTTACACTGGGGTGACACCAACTTGGATTAACCAAGGCTCTGAGACATGTTAAAATCAGTATAAATATTGGTATAAACCTGGGCAGCTAGGTTTTATATTCAGCTATTCCACCACCCTAGCAGTGTTTCTAACGCCCTAGTGCAAACGTTCAGTGGCAAATTTGTACGTGGCTACAAAAAAACCAAACCTCCAAAGAGAAAACCCTCGGGTTGGGCTCGGTTCTCCCTTTCCCCTCCTGTGCTAAGGCTGTTTCCAGCAGGATCTGTTCTTTCACTGGACTGCTTTTTCTGGTTCCCCAGAGAGCAGCTGGATTCCTTCACCTCCCTTCCCTGGCCCGCGAGACCTGCTGAAGGAAGGACAAGTCTCAGCCAAACCAGTTTAAAACCCGCAGGAACCACATGCCTCTTGTCTCCTCCTGCCAGCCGGAGCACAAGCCCCAGCCCTTTCCCTGCTCTGCTCACGGGGCAGAATAAATCAAGGGTGGTGGGATGCCAAACGGTGGTGGGTTTGGTCCAGCTGAGCTCCAGGAGAGACGCAGGGAGCCATCCCCCAAACACAGGGCTGCTGGCATGGGTATTTATGGAAGGAAGCAGGGAGAGCCCCCATAAAGTGGCCATTATTTAATGCCTCGGGCAAAGCATTACCCTCGCATGGCTGTGCAGCTTCTGGCCAGCTGAAGCCTTTGTCCATTGTTGGGGAACAGCTTCTGCCAAAAAGAAAAGTGCAGAGAAGCAGTAGAAAGAGAAGAAAAAGACCAAGGAGGGGGGAACATGTCTTCGAGGCTTGCAGGTTGAGACAAGCCCAGTGAATAGAAAAGCCAATGAATAGAAAAAAGCAAATGAGGGTGGTCAGAGCACAGGGTGAAGGGCTGCAGGGTCTCCCGTGGACCCAGACAAGCCAGTCTGGCGCCAAGGCCAAGTAGATAAGGAATTCACCTCACCCACTGCTTTGCTGCAGGGCACGGCGATGGGATGGTCCCCACCTCCTTCCTCCAGGCAAGAGCTCAGCTCCATCACAAGGGAGACTGTTTGCCCTTTCCAGGGTGATAATTTTTTTTAAACGCCCTTCTGATCTCCATCCTGCACTTCAGAGCTACCAGAAGAGGAAGGCAGTAGTTGATGATAATGAATTATCTCTGCCTCCCAGAAGAGGAGTCCCAGAAAACCACACAGGCTGGTTTTCTTAAGCAAAAAAATAATCAGGAGGTTCAAAAATACATGACTGAGAGCTTCTCATGACTAATGGTGTAAATGGAGAGGGTCCCACGCAGCCTTGCACGGATGCCCATCACAGCAGGCTTTGGGGGGATGCCTCGACAACCCAAGGTTCAAAAATACACGACTGAGAGCTTCTCATGATTAATGGTGTAAATGGAGAGGGTCCCACGAAGCCTTGAACAGATGCCCATGATGGCAGGCTTTGGGGGGATGCCTCGACAACCCAGATATAGATATTCCAAATGAAGCAGGACAACTCTCACCCCTCACCTTCCCTTTGGATCTGATAGAGGAATCAATGAGCTCCTGGTCCCCAGGTATCACCCTGCCAATGGGCACCAGCCCTGGCTCACACAGTTCAGAGGGAGAAGGGTATGAGGGCTCAGTGGGATCACAGCACCGTCCATCCCTGGCCTGGGGGCATGGGCCATTCCCTTGGGATAATAATAACTTGGCCAGACCCTAAACAGGGGCACTGCAGCTTCTTGAAATAAAGTTAAGAAATTATTAAGTTCAACGTCTGACGTAGTTAACGACCAAGGCCTAAAACCCCATGATTTCTCATGCTCAAAATTCAGCCTAATCCCACTGAACAGATTTTCAACAGCACTTTTGTCAAATGCCTCGTTAATAAGAACTTGGAAGTTACATCCATTTGCTGCTCCAGTGATTTTCAATCTCTTCCCAATCTGTGGCCCCCTAAAACTTTCCCAGGGTGGCATGGCCCCCTGTATAACATATTTAAGGCTACTACCCTAGGTTTACTACTCCCCTCGGTTATTTTTCCAGGATCCTTCAGGAGTCTGTGGATTTCCAGGACCCACCAAATCACCGAGCACCCTTCCTGTCCTCAGTGCACAGAAGCCACCACGCGAGACAAAAGCGAGGGAGCCAAATCCCATCCTTTGCTCCTAAGTGAGGTCTCTCCACGGGAGCCATGCCAGCCTGAAGCCCCACAAAGGCATTTCCTGAACCAGGGGCCAGATGTTTGCCTCCACAAACCACCGTGGTGACACCCATCTGCATCACCACCGACGCCAGGGTGCCAGTTTGCACCTTCCCAGCCCCAACGTGTCACCTGGCCGCCCATAGCGTGATCTATCAACCACCTTGTTTGCTTTTCACGGCCAGGTTCCTGGCCGTTCCTCCCCGCCTCCAACCCTCAACGCTCTGCTTCGTTCCTCCAACCCACACGGAGCAGGGACCTGCAGGGATGGAAGGGTTTCCTTACACCCAACCTCGCGCACCGAGGGGAGCAGATACTCACTCCAGCCGTTCCTCCTCTTTCTTCCGCAGGTCGAAGTCCCGTTGAACGACCTCCCAAACGTGCTTGGCCTCCTCGTCGGTTAGCTTGGAGAGGTCCAGCTTCCTCCCCATCTCGCCCCAGCGAGTTGAACCCAGGTCCTCGTTAACTCACTGTTCTCCCCGCACCCTGGGATGCTGGTGGAAGGGGAAGAGGCTCAGCTCTCCACCTTCTGTGGCTTGCCCATATAAAAAAACGGGCAGGGGCAGAGCTGTGGTGGGACCAGCCAGCTCCTGGCAGCGTCGCAGCCGTTCTGCTGGGCGAGCTCGCCCGCGGAGCCGGATGGTGGAGCAGGACTGGCACGGTGCCTATCGGCTACGGGGAGTCCCCGTTGGGCAACCTCAGCCTTTCCCCCCTCTGGGGGTCCTGCCCCAGAGCTGTAGGCAGCTCCCAGATCTCCTCCTGCAGCTCCAAGACCTCGTCCTGCAGCTCGGGGGGGTTAAAGGAGATGTTTACTCTTCGGCGGAGCTGCTGGCTTTATGCAAGGGGTTGGTACGAATCAAAGGAAACCTTTCAAAACGCCTCCCCGTCAGGAGGCCACGGGGTTTGGGAGGGGTCTGAGCATCCCCGGGAGGAGCAGCTCTGCCTGCACACCCCAGAGGGTCCCAGCTCCATCACGCTGGGTCCTTTTTTCCCCTCACCACCAACCTCTGTTCCCCTGCTGCTCGCTTCCCCCCCCTCGTCCCCCCCTTCTTCTGTGCCTGATCTTATCAAACTATTTCCCCTTCTTCTTCCTCCCTCCCCACCAACAGCTTTGTAAGGAACAACCAAGAGCATCTGGGTGTCCCTCAGGAGTCCCCTCCACGCCGGGGACTGGCCCCTGGCTTTTGCTAACCACTGTCACAGTGACTTAGGGGGCTGCCCTTAGCTTAATTATCCTCCCCTCCTTTACAGTTAGCAAGAAAAGATAGTTTGGCAGCATTTTGAGAAAAATCCTGAACACATCACATACCCAAAGGGATATATATTGCGATAATCCAACTGCCAAAACTGCTCTCTCGCTCAGCAAAACACCCTCTGTGTGCCTAAACAGGAATTTCCCAGACCTTGGATATGAAAAGAGACTTGTTTATCTTCTTCATCAGGGCAAATATTGATACTAACCACACTTTTTTTTTTTTTTTTTTTTTTTACACCCCTGACAGGTATCTAAACAGGGAGTAAGATGGCAAGGCAAAAGAGGAAAAGTATTCTGCCTGGTGGGATCCTAAGAATTCCCCAGGGATGCCCAGACCACTGCACTTGCCCCCGGGCGGGGGGAATTATCCACCCCGGTAACCCACTTGAAACAAAGATTAGATTAAACTCTACGAGCAGAGCCAGAAAAAGGATTTCCAACCCCGACTTGGACGAAACTTGTGCAAGAAAGGGGTGACCATCACGGGTGCAACGTTGAGCTCGGAGATGAGGAATGCACGACCTTTGCTGGAAGCCAGGAATGGATTTCTAGCTCCTCTTCCAGCAGAGATGAGGTCCTGGCTAAAGCAATTAGTTTATTGGCAGGAGCCAGACATCAGTTGAACTGCTCCTTACGTAAGCGTGTTTGAGCACCCGTGTGCACCCCACTGAATCCAAACGGGGTCAATAGATACTAATTAACATCACAACGAGACCCCGTCCTGGGGCCTGCCAGTAGAATCATGCCAGGAGCTCCAATACTGGGGTTTGTGCCACCCAGATAGGAATATTTTCTTTTCCAAAGAGGAGAGGGAGGTTGTCTAAAATCAGGAAGATTTGGCCTGCTGTGCAATGAAAATGAGAAAAGTACAAACGCTCAGGAGTGCCAATGCCCCCCCAAAAAGTGCTTGTTTAGCCAGAAAACCTCCGCGTGGGAAACATTCCATGTTCAGGTCCACAGAATAAATTTCAAGTATTATGTTGGCCTGGGAACCGAGTCTCTTTAGGGAAACTCTCCTCCCCTAGATCGGTGGTGCACATACCAGCAAAGAAAGACTTTTGTTTTTTTCCCCTCTTTCAAAGCAGTTTGTTGAATTTTGTAGCCCTTCAGACCCAGCAACCACCAGCTTCCAGCAGCCCTCTGCTTTGAGAAGGACAATTAAAACTGCCTGCTCACAGCTCTTTCCCCCCATCATCCAACCGTGAATAAAGGCTCCCGAATCTTATGAGCTCATGCAAAAGGAAAAAAAAAACAACAAACCAACAAACAAACCCAGAGCCACTCACCCAGACACTATCACATGTCAGGGGGCCAGATGATGTTGTATGAAGTTCACCAGCGGCTGTGGTGACCACGTGTGCGTGGGGTGGAGGTTAGGAGCAGGAATGCAAAGATCACAGCCAGTTGTGTGTGTTTCCTATTAGCTGGAGGGTCAACTGGACCTCAAGTCCAGTTGAGTTGGGGGTCCGGGCACCTGGATGGCAAAATAGGAGAGAGAATGTGTCACAAGCTAAACCTCTCCTGGGAAACCAGGTATGCATGGGACTCGGGCTTGACTTCTGATTTTCAGCCTTGCCAGATGAAAAAAGAACAGGATTTCTGGGTATCTTTTTTATGAGAAACATGCCCTTCTAGATGCAAGGCCACTCTTTTAAAAATAATATTCACATGAGCTGTTATCTTTGCAGTTCTTGGTAATCTTTTATAAGACAACTGTGAACTGATACACAGAAGAAGTGGCCTGGATCTTCTCCAGCTGTCCATTTTGCAGTGTTTCTTCTGATAACTGGAAGTAAACCCATAAGCAGAGTTCAACAAAAACGAGGGATGAAGACACTATTCAGTAGCGTCTTCAGAGGAGTTTCAAAAAGCCAAGCAGAGTCAGACCAGGAGCATCCACCAGCAGCTCCAGCCCATCTCCAAGCCACAGAGAGGACACAAGACCTTATTCACAGGAGCCTAGCAAAAGCAGGGCAGCTCGAACAAACAAGGCAGCTGTAAACACGTTGGTGCCCACCAGCCTTTGCTGTTGGAAGAGGCGATTTTCACGGATGCCTCTGCCTCTCCCACCCCCTCCCTGCAATCATCTCCAAGTCATGAGATGTCTTAGGGCTGGGGTGGCATTCCTTCTCCCTTCAGCTTCTTGGCAGTTTTACAAAGACCTCTTATCATCCCCATCGTGCCGGAAGGGAACAAACAGGACAGAGGAGGGACGTACAGTGCTGCTGCTATTTCTGTACGTGGTCCGTGAGGGATCGTTATGGGGTTTATCTATTGATACAGCTGTTTAATTATGTTACAGCATGACCCCATCTCATTTGAAATGACCCCAACGGCCTCACTTAAAAGAAAATGGCCATTCAACATTCGTTATCACGGACAAGGATGCTCTAGCATCTGTTGCAATTAGAAAACTACCATCAGAAAAGGCTTGGAAAAAAAAAAAGTTTGTGGAGCATCATTTATAGGGTTGAAGCTGTAAGGACATTTCTCTTAACCTTATGAATATGACGGAGCTTTAGTCTGGATGATGGCGCAGTAGATTACGTGCTCTCTCCCTTCTCTTATCTACCCCAATTTTTCTAACATGGATCTAATCATATTTTTGATGCATTATGCCACAAGTCTACTGTCAGCCCGACACGAGGAGCACTGCATCTTTGCCTTGTTTACAGCGAGGACAAGGCACCATAACCTGATCCAAGTTCACCATACTGCCCTAACATCGCTCACAGCCCCCTTTTCCCATGTATCAGGAATTATTTCCCCTTCCCTCACCCATATTACTAACAAGAGAAAGACTGGACCATGCCTATCCTGTTTCCTGTTTGCCTTTGGAAAGGAGCAAATATCACAACCTCTATTGATCAATTAGTGCCTTAATAATAAGAGAAACCCAGATACTCGCCTACCAAGAAGCTAGTTGGGAAAGTTCCCACCAGAAATTAAGGTTTTTCACAGGAAGAGGATTTCCCCTTGCAAGCTGGGTTAGCTTATTCCTGTGGGAATGCATCATTTGCAGTGATCAAAAAATATAATTCAAGTATCTGCCTTTGGACAAGTGGTAAAATACTTGGCAAAGGCCATCACCTTCTACAGCTCATAGGAATTACAAAGGTAGCTGAACAAACACGAGTAAATCCCTACAAAATCCATATGAATTCAAGGTCACTTCCAAATGGATTATGTCCTATTGCAACCCAGCAACAAAGGATGAAAACAGAGACTGGTTTGGGCTATGTGGGCTGTGGAGACCATGCAAATCCCACCTCCAGTCTACTATTCTGTTTCCAGTTTGCCTTTGGAAAGGAACAAATGTCACAACTTCTATTCATCAATTAGTGCATTAATAATAAGAGAAACCCAGATACTTGCCTACCAAGAAGCTACGTGGAAAGTTCCCACCAGAAATTAAGGTTTTTCACAGGAAGAGGATTTCCCCTTGCAAGCTGGGTTAGCTTATTCCTGTGGGAATGCATCATTTGCAGTGATCAAAAAATATAATTCAAGTATCTGCCTTTGGACAAGTGGTAAAATACTTGGCAAAGGCCATCACCTTCTACAGCTCATAGGAATTACAAAGGTAGCTGAACAAACACGAGTAAATCCCTACAAAATCCATATGAATTCAAGGTCACTTCCAAATGGATTATGTCCTATTGCAACCCAGCAACAAAGGATGAAAACAGAGACTGGTTTGGGCTATGTGGGCTGTGGAGACCATGCAAATCCCACCTCCAGTCTGGGAGATGTGATTTGAGAAACGCCTTCAGGGTCAGCACCTGGGTCCCGCTAAAGTTCATCACTGATGTTAACAAGGGTGGAGGAGTTATGCCAGAAACAAACAGTTCAATACATATTAAATACAAAATGTGGATGGATTGGGCCAAGAGTGCTTTGAGACTTCAAAGATCACGAGATCTAGGATGGAGGAGGCTGCTCATTAGATAGGTCAGTCCATTCCCACTCCTCTACAGCTAGTGACAAGGGCATAGATTCCCTATCCTTCCCATTGCTCCACAAGGAGACCAGGCCAGATCATGGCAGTCAGGTTTCTACTACCCCTTCTCTCTGGAGACCACGTCCTTGCCTATCTCAGAGGGCTGGACTTTAACCCATGTATTCAAATACCCTGCACTGCAATAGCCTAGGATAGTCTGAGGAGGACTCAGTTGTCACCGGCAGAGGTGGAGGTCTTTGCAAACACATCATGGGCCAGAGAAATCTTGCACAAGGCAGGGGATGGACCAGCTGCACTATTCTAGGGTAGTCCCAGCCAGTTTGCAGTAAAACCTAGAGTTTTTCACACCATTTTGCTGACAGTGAAGTAGAACTTTTGCTGCAGACGTCAAACTCAAGCAATCCCAGCACATGCCCAAGAGGGTCATCCTGACAATTTAAATTCCTCCCCCTTTTAAATTTTAAATGTGATTATGCTCTGCCTGGGCTTTCAGCCTGCAGTGAGGACTTGGATTAACGCTATCCATATGGAAAGCAACGCTGTGGAAGGGGCTGGGGGCTTCACCAGTTCCACGGGAAACAGCCTGAGCACCCGTGGAGATGT